CATGAGGTGGGTTGTTTGTTACGGTTATCACCATCTTCGAGGGCTGTTACTGTGTTGGCAGACAACTAAAGCGCCCTGACGGAAGTTCCGCGATAGCACTTTCACTTTAGGCTTTGGTGACTGGCGTCTGTGGTGTGGCGTTTGACGCTTCGCTCTCACTCGCACAAGACACGCGTTCCGTTCCCGTGTGGGGAGAATGTTTATTCCATATTCCGATCCAGTCTTTGTGCATTGACGTTGTATTCCTTTCGACCCTGGTTGTCTCTGACAGGCAGGGTGGGATCCCAGGCTAAATGGCCTGCATTGTGTCGACGGGGGGCGGAAGGAAACACCTATACATGAATGTATGTGCATTTTAAGCCCTTTTTGATTTTACGGTTCGTTGATTTTTACTGTTTTAAAAAGAAGAGAAGAGGCATTTGGGATTTTAACTTTGACCCGAGTAGTAGTAGTAGTAGTAGTAGTAGTAGTAGTAGTAGTAGTAGTAGTAGTAGTAGTAGTAGTAGTAGTAGTAGTAGTAGTAGTAGTAGTTAGATGATTTGTATCTCTCTATATAACCCAAATTCCCGCTCTGCAGCAAGCTCTATGCGCTTTACAATCCATATTATTGAATAAAATGCAAGCCCAAAAACTGTGGGAAAAGGAGAGAGAGAGAGAGAGAGAGAGAGAGAGAGAGAGAGAGAGAGGGGGAGGAGGGGAGAGAGAGAGGGGAAATATATAATTAACATCCCGGTTACACTGTGGCAAATGGCGACCACGGCTTCGATCCGTTACTTGACATGGGCTGCCCTTTCTCAGTGTTCTCTTTTCTAACGGGGCTATCTGTTCAATGCCGGGGGTGGCGTGCTATGCTATAAATTCTCAGCTCCTAGTTTCAGGAGCACAAGTGGGAATTATAATTTGATCTCTGAACGAGAAACGTGACATGACTAGGCTTGGGCGGCTTTTTAAAGATACTGTTTTCTCCTTATCAGTAGGACAAGGGAGTACCGCTACACATTTGAAAAGTGGTGTTCTAGAAGAGCAAGCAGGATCAGGTGTTCAGACAAAAACAAAAAAACAAAAAACCCAGCATTTAAAAATACAAGGAAGAAGTCTGCCAAATATTTTTTTTAAAAATATAACCAAGCCTTCTAAAGAAAATCAAAATGAGAAAACTGCAATAGCTGGGCATCATAAAGAGACACAACGCAAAGAATTACATGTAGCCTACCAGAATTAGATTTATAGAAGGCAAGCTGGAATGGGTTTTTTTTAGTAGAACTGCAAAGGGTCATAAGAGCGCCAAGAGGTGGATGTCAACAGAGAATTCCTTACAGGGAATCTGGCTTACTCTGCTCACCTCTCTAGCTTCAACAGCACAGAGTCTGTTTCGACTATCAAGGCACCCCGGAAATAGCGGGTCACAGGAGTGTGATCAACATACAAAAGAAGTAGAGGAAAAACGACGATAGTAAGGATTTGGAAAGAAAAAGCAACAGTTCCCTGTTGCAGTTCAGGCACAGTTGGTCGCTTTTAAGCACAAGGAGGCTATCCCCAAAAATGCTGTTTGGAAAAAAAATCGAGAGTAAAGTTTTTGCCCTTTGTTCAGTTTCTTTAAAAGACAAGGAGAGTTTTGTCTATAACCTAAACAAATATACGCATCAATGAAACCAAACTTCTCCTATAGGTAGGGCAATGCCCACTTTTGGAACAGGTCAAGATTTCTGGAAACTCACGAAATCTGGGTTAGCCCGCTTGTCCTTAAAAGCGACCAGTCATGAGCATGACATTGATGAATCAGCCCATTTACACTTTACAATGATATTCTACTGTGTATAAGAAAATAATATTAATATCCCCATTATATCAATACAAGAGTATAATAACTGACAACATAAAGTGATGGACAGCACAGTCGCTGAAACTGTACACAAGAGCAACAAACAACCGAAGCGAATGTTAGATCGTTGCACGTCAATAACTGCAAAGGCCTCTTATGTTATGGATAACACTTCCTGCCAACATGTACCACAAATCATGTTTGTCATAGCTCTGTTCCCCACACAAGAGACGTTGATGTTTTGTGCTGTATTATATGTATTATGGTCAATATTATTGTCAGCATCATTCTGTAATCGTTTTAGTCCGTTTCAGATGAATTACCAGATAAAGCCGGGTTTTTTTTAAACGAAGTTTTGTTTTGTTATTTTCTTCCCCAGAATATTGAGTGCACCGGCGTCTGTGGTGTAGCGGTTAGTGTTAGGCGCTTCACTGTCACACACAGGAGACCCAAGTTCGAGTCCCGAGTGGGGCGAATCTTTATCGAGTATATCGGTCTTTCTGATGAGATGTCGTATCCCTCTCAGCCCGGATTGGTCCTGACAGGCAGGGTAGGAAGCCCGCCTCCTAAATGATTGAAACTTGTCGATGGGGGCGTAAAACACCCACTCTTTAAATAAAAAAAAATTTAATTTAAAAAAAAGTTGTCATAGCCTTCAGGATCTGCGTTACATGGTACACTTTGTCTTTCATC